GTAATTGGATAGTCTATAGGTTTTGGATTGCAATACGTGCTTGTTGATGACCTGTCCCTTGTTACGAATAGTTATTGGATAGTCTATAGGTTTTGGATTGAAATACGTTCTTGTGAGGGTTTTGTTTTCTTTTTATGTGTTATCATTACCAAAGCTAAATTCCGAACCGCCTTCCTCGAGAGATGAACCTGGGAAACGAATCCTTCGATTTGGTACTCGGTAAAAGTAACAATATGTACATAACACATTTGAATGATGAATTTGTTGTTGTGTAATTCATTTTTTATTTTTTCTCCTTAAATCTTTAAGGAGGATTGCAAAATAGAAGAGAAATATTGTGATCTCTCAATGTTATCTGTAACGCCCCAAAACAGTAATGATATTCAGAACGGTTTCACTGCTCGACTATAAGTGAAATCCGTAATTTTCAGAAATTATCGAGTTATATTATTTATGCTAAATGCTCAAACATGATAAATTATTCTTTGAATAATTCTATCTCAAGTATAAGTTAAGATTAATCCATTGATTTGGGTTATTAAATAATAGCGGTTAATTCGAGAAATTACCGGACACGAACCCTAATTGTCATTCCGAGTATATTTCTCTAAGTCATAATCGAGAGTTGATATTTTAATACTTAGAATATTTTTCTAAGTGTATTAAAATATAAAAGTCAAGTTTTGATCATTTTAAATCGAGCCCTAGTCGAGTCTCGTGCCCGAGCCCCGAGCTCGCGCCTTAGCCGCGCCCGAGCATCCAACCGAGCCCCAAGGCATTGCCTAAAGCCTTAGTAGCATTTTGGGAAATATTTCTAAGTGTTGGGACACCAAGAGGAGCCCTTAGGTTCGGTCCAAAGTCCACTCACCCGCGCAGCCCATCTCCCCGCGCAGCCCAGCCGCGCCCTCGCGCCCAGGGCCCAGTGCCGCGCCCAGCAGGCCCAGCGACAGCCCTGCCAGCCCAACTTCATAAGCCCAAAACACTATTTTTCGGCCCACTTTCCTCATGGCCCAACTCATGCGTGTAATTAGGACTTAATGTGGGACAAATTAAGCTTAAGTTACCCTAAGCAATGTTTAAGGAAAATCAATTAGTGCCTAAGCCAATGGAGCATGTGCCACCATTATTTTAATCAAGGAAGTTTGTCCTTGTCCCCCACCATTTTGGATGCCCGACCAGACCTGTTTTTCCTCAGTATAATACACTTTAAATACCACTAAATGCTCTCCAAAAACCGTGCTAAAAGATGCCCCAACATCCTCAAGTCCCCATGAATGTGATGTGGTTAAATCCACTTAATTTGGCTCCCTTGACCAACATAGTAAGCTCCGCCCCCAACACCTATTTAAGACCCCTCCCTTAGTCCATTTTAAGCTCTTACACAATTTGGAGCTCGAGAAAAATAGTGAGGAGGGAGGAGAAAACCGAGAGCAAAGCTACCAGCCCTGCTGCCCGCGCGCGCGCCCCGGGGAAGGAGAGAAGGCAGCCACCTCGTGTTCCAGCCATTTTCTCTCGAGGCTTAGCAGCATCTAAGCATTCCTTAGATTTTTCTAAGTCTTGGGAGTTCAAAAGGCTCGGCCAAATCACACACCAACTCGAGATAAATCATTCAAAGCCGTACAAGGCCATTTCGAGCCCTAGCACCATTTTTCCCATTCTAACCGAGGTAAGCTCGGGATTTTTTAGTTCATAAATTATTTTATGACATTTTAAGATTTTTCATGAAGTAAAACCGAGCCATGCATGTCATTATATGTGATTTACGAATTTTTGAAATAAAAGACCTTAAAAATGAAAATTGAGTAGTAAGCATGCCTAAGTTGAAAATGTTTGTTACATCACCTTTAAATATCATGCCATTGATGGTGTAAGAATTTGAATATAATTGGAGTTCATTACCTTAGTCAAAATGCTTATGATTTTATGTGAATTTTACCTCCCGAGGCTTAGTACAATACATGCATGTTATCACCTAAGTGTTAGCCATTATAGTCATCATTTGTGATGTATAACATTCGGCCATGAGTAGTTTTGTAAGTTATGAATGTTCGTTCGGACGTCAAGTGCTCGTACGGGCCGTATAAGCCCTACCGAGTGAACATGCAAGTGGACTCGGGGTCCACTAATGTTTCTTAGCATTTTTGTAGCACATTTATCATATAAAGTTGTTATGTCATGCATGTCACCGGAAAAGTCGCCGGAGGTCCGGCAAGGGCCGGCCTTGGTCACTGGCTGCGCACATAGCGCGACAGTGCCCGGCCCAGCGCCAGTCCGTGCCCGCGCCAGCGTGCGCATGGCACCCGCAGCCCCGTTGTCGCGACAGAAGGTGGTATCAGAGCGCAGAGTGCGTTTCTGTATACTTTCAAAGTTTAGAAAAGCATGACCACGCCACGCTCATCCGCGCCGACTCCGAGGTAAGTCACCTGACTCAGTTTAAGTTTTGCAA